TCCAAAACATGTGATTTACATCCAGAAAAAGAGGAATTAAAGTTTCCAAAAGCAAAATCTCAGAATGAAAGTAACAGAGCTGCTCCAACATGCAGCCACCTGGAGCGGCGCAATTCTAGAAATGAATGGCTTTAAATGGCTTTGTGCTAATTTTTACTGCTTAGGCTTAGGGGTTATATAAATTTTAAAAGTAATTTTATTTTATGGCAGTTAAAAAAATAAGAGTAATTTCCCCATCCCAGGATTCCCCAAAAGATTATTATTTTTATTTATTTATTTTTTACTTTTTTATTTTTATTTTATTGAAGTCTGGAGTGTTTGGAGTTTTCATAAGACCCATCGGCAGCCCGGTCTATCTGCCAGCGAAACTTTGGTTTTGGTCAAATCTGCAACACGGCACACCCAATGTTGGCAGGGGGTGCCTGTGTGGATCAACAGTTTTCTACGCTAAATGTTTACTCGTGCACAACACAAGTGATTTTATTTATTTTTTCGATTTTATGTCTGAACTAAAAGAGTTTTGTTGGAGAACACTAGCGAATATTGACAGCACCCTGCAGACACCTATGGGCTAATGTAAAAATCCACATTAGAAGGATAGAAAACTGAAAAAAAAAGGCACTTTTTAATGAATGTCAATTTTATGATAATATTTATGTTTCTATAATTTTAACAGTTTGTTGCTTTTACGATTTCAATTGATTTTATAGATTTTTATTCTGGCCCTGCGATGGACTTGCGACCCGTCCAGGGTGTACCCCGCCCCTCGCACAGTGATTGCTGGACATGGGCGACCCCCGTGACCCAAAATGGAAGAAGCGGGTAAAGATAATGGATGGATTTTTATTCTCGCTTTTATGTGTTATCTGTGCACAGCACTTTGGCCAACGCAGTAAAGTGCTTTATAAATAAAGTTGTATTGCATTTGTATGATAAAAATTGAATTCACTTTTAAAAGGTTAATTTTCCCCTGAAGAGATTTTAAAGGATAGTAAACAATTCTGATGAGGTTAAAAACAATTATAAAGATTTTTAGGATTTGTCAGGAAAGGCCATGTTTGCTGACACCATCCAGAAAAGAAACAAAAAACTGAAATACGCTAAATAAAAACACAAACAACAACAAAGAACATGGCTGGTTTATTCACACAAGATCTTCTGAGGGTTAAAGCAATTAATTATGACAATCTTGACCCCACCTTGACATTTCGGGACCCAGAGAGGGGGTCTTGGAAGTCCTGGACCAGACTGCCCCTTTAAGGGAGCAGCAGCGCCCCTGCTGGGCCGAATGAGAACTGCAGCCCTGAATCCGAACCGGAAGTGGACCGAGAGTTCTGCTGAAACTCAGACGCTGCAGTGCGCTAAAGGTCTGGACCAGCTTCACTTTATTACCAGCGTTTAATCTCCATCAACAGAACCCAGAGGACCGAAGGTAAAGAGAGATTTAAAATGATTATTGTGAGTTTAAATGTTCTTAAAGGTCAAAGAGCGCGACGCTGTTATGTTTGTTTGACAAAAGTCTTTAAATTAAACTCTGACGTTTTGTTTATCTAATTAATTACAGTCACTCTAAATCATATTATATAAATCTATAAATTAAATATGATTTTATGTTGTTTTTTTCAGAGATTAATCGAAGCCTGTTTGTTACTTTCGTTTCAGCGTTAAGTTTCGTTTCTCCCTCTCAGCCAAACTGGCAACATTTATTTAATTTATAACAAATTACATTTATTTTATTTATACCCAATAATTTTGGATGAATTAGTCCTTAATGTAACTCCTGAAACACATTTAAATCAGACAAATGAGTTCAATTTTAGAACCTGAGCAGCATAATTTGTGAAATAAAATGTCACTAACGTCATATGTTAGTTAAATATAAACCAATTTAAAAATAATTAGTCAAACTACCAAAATTGTAACAAGTTTGCTTGAACATCTAAAAGTAGTTTAGATTTAAAATATAATATTTATGCTAATTTTTTATTTAGTTTTTCAAATGAAGACAAAACCAACTCAAAATAACATTTGCACAAATAAACAGCTTGTTAACAATTATATCTAAGAATTTCTTATTTATGACAAAACATTGTGTAATGTGAAATTAAGTGTGTAAAAGTTCATAGAAAGGAAAAATGTGATTAATCCCAAATCTGGACTTGGTTTATGGATAAACTCGACTAATCCCAGGGTTATGAAGATGAGCAGATCCAGGACCTGAGTCTTCATTCAACCTTTATTCAGACAGGTTAATCCCATTGAGCCTCGGGGAGTCATTTACCAGAGAGACCTGATTTTTTTTTTAACAAAGAGTGAGGACAACAGTGGATAACAATAGACGATCGTAAAAGAGGCATACAAATTATTATTATTTTTACAAATTAAAAGAAAATGGCAACCAAAAGGACAGTCAAAAGGAAAAAGTAGCGAAAAAAAAAACCCCAGCTAGATTATAAGGCGGTGTGAAAAACTAAAAACAGGAACATGTCTGCGTTGGTTCTTGCCAGGAACTTAGCAAATATTTAAAGCCACTTAGAGAAGTCAAGGTCGAGAGCTTCAGATATTTTTGCAAGATATTCCAGGAGCAGAGTAGGAGAAGGCCCTTTCGCCTAGTTCAGTCCTCACTGAGGGGACACTGCAGGTAATAATGTCCTGAGAGCGCACGCTGCAGCTGCACTCACGCAGAGACATGTAGGAGGAGATGTATGAAGGCAGCAGACCAAGAAGTGATTTAAAGATGAAAATGTACCAGTGGGAGAGTCTACGTGAAGTTAATAATGATGATGAGTCGAGCACAAATGTTATATTCTGCCCACACTGCTGGATATAACGCCCAAGTTGGTCGGGTTAAAATGTTCTCCACCTTGGATGCCTCAGGTTGGTTCTGGTAGATTCCATTGGACTCTAGCTGTTCACCGGGAACATGCTCAGCAGCAACATTAAGGTGCTTCAGGTGCATTAGCAGTCCACAATTTTATTAAAGGAACAAATGGCTTATGATCAGTTCGTAGACATACATGGCCCGTGCCTTGAATGTAGCGGGCAAAACATTTGCAGGTCCAAACAGATGCCAGACATCCTATTTCGATCTTCAAATATCTTTTTCTGCGTCCACGAGTGCGTGCGACCTGATGCTTTGATTGTCCACTGCATCCAAGTGATGGTCGTGCGCCTCTTTGTTAGACCCGAAAACAAGAATGTCGTCCGTTACAACAAACGCCAGGCGCCCGAAGCAAAACCGCCTGTCAAGAGTTATTAACGTGGTCAGTTTCGAACAGTTAGTGGAGGCAGACACTCTCAAGACATCCATTACATGTAATCTGCCAGTCAGACATGCAGAGCCAAGTCAAGGTGTATGTGAAGAATGTGATGGCCAGCAAACTTAAAAAAGGATCTGTTGTGAGATTTTCCTTTATTGTCCTAGTAAGGCTACCATAGTTGTTGCTCTGGAACATGTGCGGATGCAGAAAAATACATAAATGGGTCTCGTACGCTCCCGATGTGGCATAAAAGTGCTCCAGAGATACTGCGTCGTCTTCCCTCATCATGACGCTAACATTAATGCTAACCTAGCTTGCATCGCTGCTGGAATAGCTAGCATTAGCTGAGTTATCAGACGTAAGGAATACAAATATTTAAAGAAGTTTTGTGAAAATTCCTAACTTTAATGTCAAACAACAAAGACTCACCGTCATCTGTTAGATTCTGTCAATGACCATCGAACCGTTGACGGTACGCCGCAGGGCAGAACCAAAATCGGTTAAATTTTATTTAACGTTTTTACTTAAAATGAACAATCTCATTCGGCTTTGGTTATTTTTGTAAACAGTGTTAAGTAGCTAAAATATCTGATTTTAAAATTTAAATAAGCTTCATTGGCTTTAAAAAAAAATCTCCCTAATCTCTTCTTAAAGTGCGATGGCCTCAGCGGAGGATCTTGAGTTTTCTCTGGTGGGTCTGGAGGAGGATCTGACCTGCAGCATCTGTCTGAGCACCTTCATCTGTCCGGTCACCATCCCCTGTGGACACAACTTCTGCCGGGACTGCCTGCTGGCCACCTGGAAGGACTCCTTCAGCTGCCCGCAGTGTCGGACCCTGTTCGCCACCAAACCCGAGCTGAAGAAGAACACGGTCCTCAGCACCGTGGTGGAGACCTTCAGGATCCGGACCAACAAGAGCGAATCCGTGGTTCTGGTGGAGGAGAGCCAACCCAAGGAGGAGGAGGAGAAGAAGAAGGGTGTGATCCGCTGTGACACCTGTATGGAGGCCGAGGCGGCTCAGACCTGCCTCACCTGTATGGCCTCCTTCTGCGAGGAGCACCTGCGGCCCCACCGGGAGAACCCCACCTTCCGCCTCCACCAGCTGAGCCAGCCCGTGGCGGACCTGATGGATTGGATCTGCCCCAACCACCACAAGCTGATGGAGCTCTTCTGTACCCAACATGGCCGACTGATCTGCAGCCTGTGTCTGCAGCAGGGCCACAAGGACTGCAGCTTCACCACATCTGAGGAGGAGAGGAGCCGGAAGCAGGTCTGTAGGTTAACACTCCACAGCTAATCCACCTTAGCAAACACCTAAATATCTATAACTCAGCTAAACTTACAGTTATTGAGCTAAAATCTGACGTGGTTGTAGAGGAGTCATCAACATATACACTGATCTTTAACAAATGTCCCAGTTTTACATGAAATGGAAGTTGACGTCAGTGATGAGGTTTGACCAAGCGGGCTGTAACTCGTGTCACCATTATCTTAGTTTAAACCATTTCTGACTTACGACCAAACATTAATAAGGGTTCTTGAGTGCTGATGCATCGACAGGGCCCTTCAATGTAACAAAGACAGATTATGGTCTGTTTTGTTGTCCCCCTCCGCCATCTGTCCGTGCATGCTGTGGGCGCCATAACTTGAAAAATAAGTGAGGTACCGACTGCCATTTTGGTGCGTCACTGCATCTAGACCTAAGGAAGTTTCCTTTTTAAAAAATGGGTTGCCACGTCAAAATCCAAGATGGCCACCACCATATACGTGTATGTAAAAAAAAAAAAAGAATAGCCACCCCTCTCATTTGAGGAACATACTTGCAAACTTGTTGCTTTTCGGCGAAAATCGCCAATTTCAATCAAAAATATGTCATTTACATAAATCATCTATATCCGAAGAGGTTTTTTTTTTTTCCGGGGCTGGGGGTGTCAGAGACATGGTAGATGGCATAATTTCCCATTGACTGAATTTACGCAGCACTAAGCTAGCGCTAAGTCGTGCAAAGCTTATGCTAGCTCGTTATGCTCGCGTGCTGGAAGTTGTCGACTGGGGGGGGGGGGGGGGGGGGATGATATGTTACAAAAACGGGGCACTATGTCTGTAGCATCTTAGCTAACGAGTCTGTATTGTGCGCCGCTAGGTTAGCGCTACATATTTAAGAAAAGAGTTTTTGCTATTAGCAAAATGCTTCGCGCTGTTTGAACAATTTTCAGTCAGGTCATCTGGACAGTTTCTTTTTTTATTGTGTTGAAACGTTTCACCTTCCATCCAGAAGGCTTCATCATTCAAGGAAACACGCAACACAAAACTGATTCTTCACCCAACAGCTTACTCCAAAGTGGAACAAACTATTTATCTTGGTGCTAAGATGGTGTCTTGTGGTTTCAGCACACACACACACACACAAAAAGAAACTGTCCAGATGACATGACTGAAAATTGTTGGATTGTATACCTGGATTGTTGAGCATGGACTTTGTTGGTTTTGAACCAGTTTGACATGACTGTCGACGAGGGAGAGGGCCGGTACCAGAGGAGGGGGCGTGCCAAAGAGACCATCTTAGCACCAACATAACTGGTTTGTTCCACTTTGGAGTAAGCTGTTAGGGGAAGAATCAGTTTTGTGTTGTGTGTTTCCTTGACTGATGAAGCCTTCTGGATGGAAGGTGAAACGTTTCAGCACTAAAA